AGGGCACAATTTTAACAGTTTTCATAATTTTTTTAATTTCTAAAACCAAAAGTGGGCCAGATCCTTAACTGGGATATTTGGTGTAGCTCCACTGACATTATTGGAGCCATGCCTGTTTACTCTGATTGAGGATATGTCCCTGTGTATTTTCAGTGTTAGCACTCATCCATAGTGCTGTTTCTGTTGGTTGAATACTGGGGATAAACTGCATGCAATTTCACAGAATTGCCAAGTCTGAATGTTTATTATTGTGTATATACAATAATGAAGGGGATGCAGTTTACTTACCTGGGGAAAATCAGTTAGTAGAATCTTAACAGAACACTTTGTAAACACCTGGCAAAATGGAAATTGTGAGCCTGAGCTTCTGCCAGAACTTGCACTGGCTTTAAGGGGAGCAGGATTGAGTTCAGTGTAACTAATGTACCCTAGTATTATTGATATTGAATGAATGTGTTTTTATATTGAATGCTTTTTGCTGGACAGTGCATTGTGCTTTTATGATTTGAAACTAGACACAAATAAATTATTTGAAAATTCAGTGTTTTTATGCCTGTCTTTTGAATTTCAAATGGAATAATTTTGGGCCTTATTCTCATCTAGCGAGCTGCTAGAATGATGAGAGAGAGGCTTCAAACATTGCAGTCTCACCTAGCGTCAACAAGGACAAAATGATCTTCACTAGCAGTAAATGTTTTAGATCCCTATTACAAAATGAGTACAATTTTAGTATGTTCCATTTCCACTGTCTGGCTCTCTGCCCTCCTCCCTGGGAAGCTGCAATATAACAAACATGCTGGTGACTCCTGTGACACCTTCATTCCCCCTGCGATGTGTTGGACAACACTGCAAACTGTATGATCTTCCACCAGGACCCATTTCAGCTGAGCAAAACTTGCATCTCCGTCATATAGCCAAGGTAGAAATGCCATGTCCAATGGGGTGAGGCTATAGTTACAAAAAACTACAACAGCATCCAGGAGTCTATCCTCCATCGTCCATCAAGTGTGGGTCCTTTTGGTTCCAACTCCAATCATGGGTGTCCTATAACTAAGCTGATGGAGAAAAAAGCTGTGATTTCTATATACCGCAGAGGACCAGCCTGTTACCAAGTACCATAGTATCACCTGCCTACTTGAGGCAGGCCCAGAATTTGAACCATGAACAATTTGATTTTCTCTTTGCAGCACCTATAAAATTAATAAATAGGTATGCTCCCCTGCATGGTGACAATTCTAGGGCAGTGAATTAATAAGGAAGTAGTCCATTTATAGCATGTGCAGAACTGAAGCTGGAACTTCTACAGCTTAGTGCATGATCATCTACCTCGGGTGGGAAACCTTTTTTGGGTCAGGGCTTCTGACCCATAGAAAAATCAGTCAGGGGCTGCACACAAGTTTGAAACAACAACTAAAAACCGCAAACCCACCCCTCACCAGCATAGGCTCCCCAATGCTGGGGGGAACTCAGAGTCTCAAGTGCTGAACCTAGGCAAGCCACGGGCTGCATCTGACCCCCAGGCCTTAGGTTCCCCACCCTTACTCTACCACATGAACTAAAAGCCAGCTGGCTCTCAGCTAAGACTTAGAGCAAACTCATTATTCTCTCTGTAAATGTCACTAGATGGGACAGTGCACCACACCCAAAAAGGTGTGTGCATTACACAAGCTTGTTATTTACCTCAGAAATTCCTCAACTGCTAGTCACTGAACACTTAGGCCATATCTACACTGCCCCTTTCTTGCGAAAAACATATGCAAATGAGGCTAAGCGTGGAATATTGCCGTGCCTTATTTGCATAATTAGGCTCCGTTTTTGCGCAAGAGACTTTTGCGCAAAAAGGAGCCATCTACATAGCTCCTTTTTGCACAAAACCCCCCCTCTTGTGCAAGAGCTGTTCTTCCAGAATAAAATGCGGAAGAACGGCTCTTGTACAAGAGGGGGTTTTTGCGCAAAAGCCTCTTGTGCAAAAACAGAGCCTCATTAATTATGTAAATGAGAAGCAACGATATTCCTCACTTAGCCTCATTTTCATATGTTTTTCCACAAGAGAGGGGCAGTGTAGACATAGCCCTGGATTCATAGGGTTGGAAGTGACCTCAGGAGATCACTGAGTCCAACCCTCTGCTAAAAGCAGAACCAATCCTAACTAAATCATCCCAGCCAGGGCTGTGTCAAGTCGGGACTTAAAAACCTCTAGGGATGGAGATTCCACCACCTGCCTGCCCCCAGTAGCTTGGCTGTGGTTTGAAAGAAAATATGAAGGACTAGGATTAAAACCAAATGTTTGTTTGGTGGATGGGATTGCCTGTTACCAGCTTTGGGGCAGACGTTGCTGTGTTAGGGCTTGTCATACATTAAAGGGCTGTTGGATTTTTAGACAATGTGGTCTCATCTTATTCTTGTGGATATTCTTGAGGTCACGGTCCATACGTGTTCTCCGAGGATTATTTTTCTAGGTAAGCAAGTGCTATAGTTGTGACACGGGATATGCATCCATGAAGTGCTATAGGTGTGACACAGGGGAGATGAGAATTCACACAGTTGCAAACAGAAAGCCTGCTACTCAATGACTCTACTAATATGTGGTTCTGAGAAGACAAATAGGAACCCTTTCTTTTCCTCAAGAACCATAATGGTCTATTGGTTGCATTGCTGACTTCCTGCAATCTCAGCAAATGCTCACAATTAGTATTAAAGGTTTTGACAATTTCTGATAAATGACATATTTTGTTACAATCCTCAAGAAGAATGCAACTCACAATGTCCTTTGTCCTGTGACTGCCTGGCATCATCTTATCTTTTCTGATTTTATGTCTTATCAAGGTGGTATTCTTCACCTTTTGACAATAATCCATCTAACGCTCGCAGTGAAGATTCTGGTCCAGTTAACAATCTTGTGAATACATCTGGTAGCGAACAAAGAATAGTAAGAAGAATAAACAATTGAGTGCATGTTGAGAAAGAGGGGTGAGTCAATGTGTGTGACCGAGAATGTCTGAGTGAATGGATGGATTGTGCATAAGCTTATATGTGAGGAGAAAACAGCAGAAGGGAAGTTTGGTGTGGTGGTTAAGCATGAACATTTGGGTGCACAAGTTATGACCAGTCCAAATTTCAGAGGTTCAGTGATTGCAGGAGATTTGGGGCAAGAGATCTGGGAGACAGGAGTTGTGGGTTCAGAGATTCCTGGCTCTGTTGTTGGCTTGCTGTCTTGGGCAGGTCATTAGATTTACCTGAGACTTAGTTTATTCTATAAAATGAGAATAATACCACAGCCTTCAAAGGAGTGGGGTTAACCTTTATAATTTAAAAGGCCTAAAATGCATACATAATACAATTTGCTTGAGACTGATATGGTCTGTTTTGTATAATTGACATCAAATTTTTTAGACCAGTTTAGTTTTAAAGGTGGCTGCTCTGTGAATAAATAGCTTGCTAAATGTGGATTTCATGCCTATCCAATCCTTTCCAATCCTTATTCTGGAGCTGCCATTTTATCTTCTTACCTCTTTGATTTGTTTTCTGGGTTAGCCTAAAGCATTACATTAGCATATCTGGGTGATATAAGCTACATCTCCAGTTGCTGTATGTATTACCTGCAGTACCACACCATTTCTCTTGCTGAACAAACCGCCCTTTCAACACGAGCCCGTTTTCAACGTGTCTGTTCCAGAAATTATAGCTCAGCTATAGAAAAGGTGGGATAATAAGAGATGGGGACACTTCTATGTAGATGTAGGGAAGGGTTAAAAGTTATTAAATTACCTGCTGATATCACTAATATACCATTTTCTAACCTTTCTCATGAAATGTTGTAATGAGTCACTCATATGAAAGTTGCCTCTCACCGTGTTACTTAAAAAAAAAAGAAATTGGGGAGAAAGGCGCTGGAACAGCTTATTCTCTTGAACCACACAATCTGTGTAAAAAGTTACAGGGATAAATATGCCGATTTGTGCATCCTTTGACTCCAAACTAGCAGCTTGTCTGATGCAATTGCCTGTGGACATGTGACAGCCTATGATGAGCATCAGATTAGCTGCTGAAGTCACTGATTTCTGTCTTTGAGTCTGAATGCTGTAGTTTGTTTGTTTCCATTTTTAACTGAGAGGAGGCATACATTCCTTATGAGAAACTTGCTTCTTACTGTTCCTATTTAATTGTTTGCCTACTTTGTTGCCTGGAAGGTGATGTGCCATGTCCCCACCCTGTGCTATATGGAATATTCTTTATTGATCAGCAATAATATGCCTGGTTCTTTGTTGGTTGTCACAACAGGGGACTTTAGGTTGTGATTTTGCAAGCATGGTCTTCCATGGTCAAATTTTTTTTCCTGGTGTTGCACACTCTCAGGTAGTCTGTACCTTTCTGAATACAGTAGGCACATTGTCAAAATGTTTTCTTTAATTTTACCTGAAAAGGAGGCCAGGCAGAAAATGATGTTAATATTTTTGTCTATGGAGAAGATAAAGTCTAAAAAGTTATTGCTCACAGGCTAGATGAAGTTGTTGACCTTCTCTGGAACAAACTTGGATAGACACATTGGGCTCCACCTGGACACACAGAAGAGGCATTCGGCATTTATTGCAGTATCATTAAGATGATTTTGTTCAGAAATACCGTTACTATGAGGTATGAATGAGGAGCCCCCAAGATAATAGAGTTTTATCTTCAGAAACAGTCAATTGTAGCACTGTGCAAAGCCTTAAACTGTATTAGAGCATGCATGGAATGAATACATGGCCCCCTGATTGAATACAAGCTATAAGTAAATTGAAGCAGTTTGCTGATGTCACAAACTATATAAACTTAGCTCATGAGGTTTACAGACTGAATAAAATGTATAGGATTAAACTACTCACTTGATAATTAACCTGGGATTCAATTCTGTTATGTGTGATATTAGGCAAATAACTAGAGCCTGTTTAAATGAGTTTGCATGCTCTCTTTCATGCCTGGGAATGTGGTGAAACATTTCCAAGAACTATCTTTTATCCACATAGGAGAAAGCTTGAGGGGAAATGAGAAGGCCAGTTGCCACAGTTGGTACTCACAATCATTTCACATATATTTAAAGTACAGCATGGCATAGCCTGCGAACACACGGAGTAATGCTTGCACACGCTACAGTAGCACGGCTGGAGGGGAATGATGGTCTTGTGGTTAAAGTACTGATCTGAGACTTGATTGACCTGGTTCAATTCCTGCTACTACCTACCTACATGACCTTGATTGAATTAATTAATCTTTGTGTTCCTTTGCTTTTTCTTGTTTCTTCAATTTATTAGCTCTTTGAGGCAGGGAGCATCTCTTACCAGGTATTTTTATATTGCCAAGGACAATAAGGTCCTGATTTTGGTTGCACCCTCTAACTGTTAGTGTTATATACACAATAATAATAAAAGAAATGGGAAATGAGTGGTGACAGAAAAAGATAAGTGTACAATAGGGTCAGTGCTATTAGTCTTCAAAGAGATGGCTGGCACATTCTCCGCTGTTCGGTTTGAGCAGGCTTTGGACCTTGTGCTGCAATATCCATGTAAATGTTATCGGCTAAGATCTTTGTCTTGGGCCATGCACAGTCCCACACGGGTGGCAGCAGAGAACACTGTTATTGCCTCATAAACCAAGTCCAGCATTTCACAGCAACGTGTCTGATCTGAAGAAAGACGATAACGAGTTGGGATTGAAATTCTTCCAGGACTTTGAAATTCTGCAGCATGCAGCTGTAGTACAGACTCACAGCCAGGATCAGCACTAAACAAAGTGAAATCCACAGGAGCAAAGGCAATCCAGCTGATGGCCCATCTTCTGCTGGGAGAGGTTGGGGAGAGAAAAGAAACAAGCTTTATTTTAGTGTTGTCTGAAATAGCTCCAAATTTGACTCCTACTGCTGCCTTTGTCCTGGTTTTCTGGTAACAGCAGATTAAGCTGTGTTCTTATTGTGAGTGCTTCTATATGCATCTATTAAATGGTAGTGAGTCACACCTCCCTACAGAGGCTACTGAATATAAAAGATGTAGTCTAATGGAGCATTACAAGGGTTTAATTATATACAATAAGAACAGGATTACCATAGTTAATGCATGTTCTCAAATTTCCTCCCAGCAATTATTTTTTATACATTTAAGTAAAACATTAGGCTAAATACTAGAGAATATTAAACAATCATGACTAATTATTTAATGCTCACAAATGTTCTACAAAGAGAGAGGAAGTGGAGAACTTGCCTTTCCTCTGTAACATGAACTTAGGACTGGTCCTGTTAATTAAAATAAGAATGAAATGAGGATCTATTGACCGAGCAGCACAGTTTACAATGCTTTTGCAGGGCCAGTCTGCCTTTCAGTGTTAAAATTGCTAATCTCACTGGAATGTCCACTAGGTTTATTCGTAAAAAGGAATATATTGTAAACATTTCTCCTTGCTTGTAAAAATAACCCAAGGAATTTCAGATCACTATGTGTCTGACGTACTTCATGTGCAGAAATAGTTGGGCTACATTTTACATGCTGATGTCTATTAAAGTCAGGCAATGCCATTGCAACATTCTGAAAGGGGTTGGTCAGGAATAACCAGGGCAAATAGCTTCAGAGGGGTAGGCAAGTTATTCTGTAACAGGAAAAACTTACAACGGATAGTCTAGTAGCACCTTAAAGATTAACAAAACATGTACATGATATAATGAGCTTTCGTGGGCACAACCCACTTCTTCAGAGATTTAGATATGAGATTGCACCTTCAACGAACCTTTCTGTTAACTCTTTGTTGTAGGTGTCTCTCTGGGTACATCTAGACTGCGGGGCATTTCCGGGATACCAGAGAAAACTCCGCCTCGTCCAGGGAACGTGTTTGCTCTTTTGCTTTTTTTGTGGAAGAGCAAATGCGCTCTTTCAGAAGCCCCATCTTCCTCATTCTACGTGGAAGAAGGGATCTTCGGAAAGAGGAGTGTTTTCCAAAATTTGGCCCCGTGTTGATGGGGCAAATTTTGAAAAGCCTCTTCCGAAAAAAGAATCGGAAAAAGGTGTAGTGTGTAGACCTAGCCTAAGTCTCTCTCTCTGTTTTGGTCTCCACTGCAATGTTAAGTTGGAAAAAGAAACGCAAATTGTGTATCTTTTTCCGATTTACTATCGAAAGAGGCTTTTCTGAAATTTGGCACCGTGTTGATGGGCCAAATTTCAGAAAAAAGTCCTCTTTCAACACATCCCTTCTGCCTCGTAGAATGAGGTTTACAGGGATGGCGAAAGAGCGTGTCCGCTTTTTCGAATTTTTTTTCAGAAAAGCGGATGCATTCCTTTGATGCGGTGTTGCTTTTCCGGGATAAGCACTGGTATCCCGGAAAAGCACTGCAGTCTTGACATAGCCAGTCTCTGTCTGTATCTGTCTGTGTCTCTTTTTGGTATGTGGTGTTTCTATCTAACAGGCACATAATTCACCAGTCACAGCTCCAGCATTTGCATTTGCTATATCAGCTCCAAGGCAAACTCCCTTGTTCCCATAGTTCAACTTCTACTCAAGCCTTGCTATTTGCTTGTCTTTTGGGTGCTCCTGTTGTTCCAGCTATCTGTTTTCATACAGGGGCTCAATTGTTTTGTATTCTTATTCTGAGTGACAGGTGCCTAGTACACCCACCAATTTCAATGAAGTTTAACTCCCACCCATAACTTTTCCATGGTGCATTGTATCACCACTATGATGACCGGTCAAAGGCTAATGAGGGGCATAATTCCCTACCATCTAACCAGTTGGGAGTCATTGGACATAATCTTCTTCCTTCCAATTATTGAGGGTTAATAAGTGAGAGGGGACATAACATCCCTATCTCACTGGAAGATACATCAAACAAGTAGGAATTCTCCAGTAGCCTGTTAAGCTGACATTACAACAACTTTGCACCACTAATCTAATGTCTAGGATATGGCATTAAGTGTGTAGAGTTCCCTGCCTTCTGAAGATAGCTGGAGGTGTACAATGTTTCTCCTTGCTTAGGGGACCTGTGTAAAAATTTTGCACTGTGCTCTCACTCCTTATCCTGACTAGAGGAATAGGCTACCATACAAAAAGATGGAGAAAAATTGTTCTCTCTTGCCACAGAATATAGGACAAGAGACAATGGGTTCAAAGTATGACATAGTTGTTTTAGATTAAATCTCAGAAAAAACTGCCTAAAAATAGTAGGAAAATGGAACAAATTAGCTAGGGAAGTCATGAAAGCTTCAGCTTTCAAAAGAGGCTGGATAACCCTCTGTCTGGGGTGGCTTAAGCCAGGTCTATACTCCTAGGGAAAGTTGAAGTAAGATATGCAACTCCAGCTTCATTAATTAAACAGCCGGAGTCACATTTCCTTGCTTTTACCACAGTGGGAGGCCAATGGGAACAAAGGCTCCTATTGGTTTCCCTTACTCCTGGTACAAGCAGGAGACCAGGCAGCTGGTGGGGGCACCCTCTGAGTTTGATTTAGCGAGTCTTAACTAGACTCGCTAAATCAAACTCTGGAAGATCAGTCACAGCAGCATCGATCCTGCATCTTGGTAGGGAGGATAGATTATGACCCTTGCAGTCCCTTCTAGCCCTCTGGTTCTAAGATTTTAAGCACCACAACAATCTGGGAAGGAATTATATGTTCTCTCTGCTGACGCATGGTCAGTGCAGTGGATGCAGATCATACTGTGCACCTGGAGTTATAGTCTGAGCAAGGGAGTAAGCCAGAGTAAGGGAGTAAGTCCTGTCTTTTTTCTCTGCACTGAAGCAACAAAAGCTTATATGTAGCAAGTAAATGAGGTTTAGTTCGAGTTTACAGCACTCTAAGGACAGAAGTCGGGGCCAGGCCATATCCCTGCAACCTAGAACCTAACCCTTCACTACGGAAGGTGTCCCTCCACGCCTCTGCATCCACACCCCATATCCTGCCACAACAACAGCTGTGCCGGACTCTATGTCCTTACCTTGGCCAGCCTAGTAAGGGCTGTGGCAAGCTAGCTGCACAGGAAGCCTGTGGTATAGATTCCACTCTCCTAATTCTCAGGCTTGTGTTTGGAAAAAAAATCTTTTATCCTTAACAGCATGTGTGAATTATTTCTGAGAGCACAATGGCTGTTCTGTTGGGCTGCATGGTCACTGTGCAGTCACTCTGATAAAGCACTCTCAGTATTAAATTCGCTCTTGAAAACCAAATTCATGCCTGAATAAAAAACAATAGTGTGCAACTATTTGCCTGGCATATGCACATAATCAATAAGAAGATAAAAATATGGTGTGTATTGTTATGGGTAAAGGACCGACATTAGCTGTAGCGTATTTAAATTAGCTTCTATTACCAGCCCTGGAATACGCAGCAGTCAATTAAGCTGTCATACAGATATACATAAAGGAAGGTAAAAGTCATAAAATCAAGCAACAAGCACATAATAATGTATCAAAAAGTGTGTGGGGAGAAGGTAGAATGTTAATAGCCAATCATTTGAAAGCTCACCAGAAGCCAAATCGATGTTCTATAATAGAGTTGGGTGAATTATTTGCAGCAAATAATTTCTGCATTTGAATGTAGCCCTTCTTTCTGCTTGCAGATTATCTGTGACTAGGCTTCGATTTTTATTAATTTGTCTGTTACTTGGAATTATTCTACAAAAGGTTTATGTGGACATATTTTAACCTGCGGCTTGCTCTCTCCAGCTCTTTCCAGTGAAACTATTTGATGTTCGATATTTCCAATGTGCCATTTGTCTCTCGAATCACCTGATTCCTCGTTCTTAGCTGTGTGACAGACTTCAATAAAAAGGTCACAGTTAGTCTTGTAGTAGTGAAAATGATTTGGGAACTGATTTTGTGACTTGAGAATCACCTTTTGATAAGGGCCTGTTTTCTTCCCTCTCCTATGAAGTTCTTGCAAAGGGTTTATCAATCACACAAATGTTGCTGTCTGTGAGGTTTACAAGGGATTCACACTTCAGATGTAAATGTAGATGTTCATTAGGCCCCATGCATGTTGGAAATGCTCACTCCTTGCTTATAAAGTGTCAGTGAGGGAGCAAAACAAATTACATGTAAGTGAGGGTCTGTCTGTACTTGGATTTGGGGGAGTAATTCCCAGCTCAAGGGGGCACACCCCAGTGATTGAACTAGTGTGCTAAAAACAGCATACTGTGGTTGCAAGGACGTGTACTGGGAGAGGCTATGTCTTATCTAAGACGTTAGTTATGTATTCAGGACAGTAACCTCTTCCTGCTGCTCACACCATTGGGGTGATACTCTTATTGGTAGCATGCTAGCATGATCAGCGCTAATGCTGGTATATCTCCTACAGGTAGGCATAAATACCCCCCACCTTAAGTGTAGCCATACCCTGAAATCAACAGTCAGGTGCCATGAATAAATAAACAGTACAGAGATACAGGAGAAGTTACTTCTGATAATTAAAATCAATCTTCAGGCTTAATTATGTTTGCACAATTGCAAATAAATTATTTGTTTTAAAAATCAGTCAGCTCATATCTAATTTGGAAACAGAAAAAAAAAGAGCTAAATTCTTGAACTGGTTGGTGAAATGTCGAGGGAAAGGTACTCCATCAGAATATGCAGTTCAGTTGAAATCAAAAGGTTTTGTGAAACTGCATACTTTTTTTCCAGACAATTTTGTTGTTAAAAATGAAAAAAAAAAGTTCTTTTTGGAATGAAATGTTTCCATTTTTTGTATTATTATCTACTCTAATACAACAGAAAATTTATTCAAAGTGGAATTTGAAAACTAGACATTCTGAGTTTGTTAAAACACAACATTTTGAACAATGCAGAATGATTTTTTTTCCTGGAGTTTTCCATCATGGATGAATATGTAATTTTCACTTTTTACTGCAATTTGTCATCAAGACAAGTTGCAAAATCCTTTGTGAAATGGAACTTCCATCTTCCTCATAGTTCCACCAACCCTACTAGCTATACTGTTTGTTATAAATAGCATGCTCAACTCCAATCAGGGGGTCTTGAATAATAAAGGTGCTGCCGGTCTGTGATAGAGGCATAAGGCTGGCTCTTAAGAGCTCAGGGTTCAATTTCTGCAGTTTACATGGATGTCCTGTGTGAGCAGGGGCAAATCACTCATAATCAGCTTAGCTGATTTAGATTTCAATCAGCTGAGGCCTTCATGCAACACATCTGTGTCTCGGGTCCTAATCTGTAAAATGGGCATAATAATACTTTGTTTCTCCGCCCTTTTTTCTAACTTGACTGTTTAGATTGTGGTCTCTTCAGAGCACACGCCATCTCTAACCATTTATGTGTACACCACCTGGCAAAAGAGGTCCTAGTCTTGGTTGGGGTCCTTTAGATCTCCCTGTAATATAGTCAATAGCACTTGCACACAGATTTGCTGGTGTGTTCTGCGACTTTGGCCTTGCCTCAAGTATTCTTACACACACACAAAAAGAGAAAACAGATTATTTTAATTATGTCCTCTATATCACCACTGTGCTAATGAACTACATATTCACCACAGGTAGAAGTCAGCTGAGAGAACTACTGCTTAGCTTAGGGGGGAGAGGGGAAACTCTTCCTATCTCAATGAAAAACCTGGACCCATTTTATTACCATAAAATGTATTAATTATGTTTAAATTAAACATTGCTCCAGGGACTGAATTCTTGTTTCCACTACTTGTCTTACTTTCTGTTGGTTTAAAATACTGGAGCAGAACTGATCACATATTGTGCTTCATGCACACAAAAACCACTGACAGCATGAAACAATTCCTATTCATGGAGTATTGCTGCGCAATTAATCTCAGCAGCAGGTAGGCAATCTCAGGCTAGTGCCATGGATGGCCCACAGTTATACTGTAAAACTTCAACGTACCAACTCCGTAGTCCCAGCAGGAAATGTCTAGCAAATAGAATGAAAACGTTCTTGCATGCTAACTAAGGCCTCCTCAGGGTAGCAGAGTGAAATAGGCAAGCCCGCTGGTAGGCCTGGCTGTGGTTTTCTGAAATGGTCCATTTACACAGTTAAAGGTACTGGGCCAATCCTCAGTTGGTGTGAATTGACAAGACCCTTATGACTTCAATGACCCATTCACGCCAGAAGAGAATCTGGATTTTCCGGCTCATGAAATGAAAGTTTCTGCCTAAAAACTGCTTCCTGAAATGCTGCTACATTTTCACACTTGCAATGGAACAAGCCAGTGATGGGCTAAGAAAGTAAGATCGGGACATGGCTGCTGTTGTGATGGGGATAAAAGGTTTTGTAACTGTCACCAAGAAGGAACGCAACTGCTGTATCATTTCCAGCATGAGCATGAGACAGCCCAGCAGGCAGGAGGTAGGAAGTTAAGTTTAAAAGACAAACACTATTATAACATGGATTCCCCATCTAACTATGTCCTAAAACACTGCCTGCTTGCAGTGGCAAGGACAATCCAACATGAAAATTCAGAGCCTGGAAAAATGTTAGTGGTGCTAACAAGCTCATTTTTACCAGCCTCTAATTGAATTGTATTAATAGCAATGTATTGACAAACAGCAAGGGAGTCTTCATCACAGGTTGTTTGCAATAAAGAAACATAGATATGGCTCTTGAAGTGAAAGACTGGGGAATTTTTCATGTCTTAAAAAAACATGGGTCTGATTCTCCTTTCACCCTTTAGTGTGAATCAGGAGCTTGCAATAAGGGAGCTTGAGGTTAGATATTAGGGAAAACTTTCTGACAATAAGGATAGTTAAGCCCTGGAACACCTAACCTAGGAGGTTTTGGAATCCCAATGCAGAAGTTTTTTAAGAACAGAATAAACAAACACCTGTCAGGGATGGTCTAGGTATACTAAATCATGCCTCAGAATGGGCAGGGTGGGGAAGTAGGGGTGGACTAGCTAACCTCTTGAAGTTCCTTCTAGTCCTATATTTCTAGGATTCAATGGAAACCAGTGTAGGCAATAATATTTGCAAATTCATGGATGACAGAGGAGGTCTTAGAAGACTGGAAAGGGGCTAACATAGGCTATGTCTGCACTACAGGCTTCTTGTGCAAGAAGCTTTTTGCGGAAGAGATCTTAGGGCACTTCTATGCAGCAACATTATTTTGAAATAACTAGTGTTATTTTGAAATACCTTAGTCCGCATCTAAACAGCAGGCAGTTATTTCAAAATAGTGTCAAAATACTTTCAAGCTGGAGGACTTCTTACTCCGACTCCTGTAGCCCTCATTATACAAGGAGTAAGGGAAGTTGGAGGAAGAGTGTTCTATTTTGAAATAAGTGCTGTGTAGACTCTTCCAATTTCGAAATAAGCTATTTTGAAATAAGCTACGCAATTGACATAGCTCAATTAGTGTAGCTTATTTCGAGTTAAGCCCTGCTGTGCACCCTTAGGAAAGGAAAACCAAATATAGAATGGGGGAAAAACTGACTTGACAGCAGCCCTTCTGGGAGTTGTGAGGTGTCCCAATCTCAACATGTATTAGCAATGAGATGATATTGCAAAAAAAGTAAATACAATTTTAGGTTATATTAATAGAGGCATAGCATGCAAGTTATGGGAAGTGACAGTGCCATTCTACTCAGCACTGGTTAGACTTCAGCTGGAGGAAACTGTACAGTTTTGGTCACCAATGTGTAGAAAGGAGAGAAAAAATGGAAATGATCCAGAAGCAAACAACAAGGATGATCAAAGGGATGGCATGCAAACCATTTGACTGAAGGAGGAACTGGGTATGCTTAGTTTGGAAAAGATCTATGGAGGGCAGGCATGATAATGACCTACAAATATGTGACGTGTTGCCATAAAAATGGAGAAAAGTTTTCTCTTGCCACAGAGGGCAGGACAAGAGGCAACTGGTTCAAATGACAGCATAGCAGACGTAGATTAAATCTCAGGAAAAAACTTCCTAACTGTAAGAACAGTAGAACAATGCAACAGGTGGCCACGGGAGCTTTGTAAAGTTCCTTCACCGGATGTTTCCAAACGGAGGCTGGATAAATATGTGTCTTAAGACATAATTAATCCTACATTTTGGCAAGGAGTTAGATGGTGTGACACTTCTGGTCCCTTCTAACTTTTAACCTATAATTTAATGGTTCTCGATGAGAGGAGAATCCAGACCTCTTATAATTCTATTCTACAAAGTTCAACGTGCTCTGGAAAGAGATTATTGCGGTTACTGTTGATATGGACCTGAATGCTAGGAGTGAGATGGGGAAAAATAATGTATTCTCAGACTTGTGGTATTATGCACTCACGTGGACAGCCACAGAACTTAGAGGCAACTTACTGGATACTTTCAAGTGCCAAATTCTGAATGACTTGAAAGCCCCAAAGATAACATGAACTTGACCAAAACCCACTGAAGTCAACTGTTATTGGATCGGGCCCAACCTTGCATTCATAGGCTTGTATACAGCATAAGAAACAGCAATAAAACTTAAAAAAAAAAAAAAACCAAAACATGGAGGTCCTGGACAGACTAAGAGGTTTTGCTGCCTGTTCAGTATCTACACCACCTTCCTCATATTGCATTGTTCGCTGTTAACAAAGTGATAATGCAGAATGCTTGCCACCAAAGTCATTTAAATACGATTCATACAAATGCAATTTTTTTGTTCTGCTTGATTCCCAACGAATCCTCTAACTTCCTATAGTACAATGCGATTTTTTTACTAGTGTAGCGCATTGAAGTTAGAATGATGAAACACCTCTTATTTCATTGTTAGTTGTACAAAGTCACTATTGTACCTAATGCGCATAAAGAGACAAGGAAGCTGTTCCTCTGCCTGGGCTAAGTCCCTTTTGCTTCAGAGTGACAAACAGCATGTGAATCTGTCCTAATGGGAAACCATCTCTGTCCCTGGTCCACAGAGGGGCTGTTCTGGAATGGGATGGTGTAAAAAGGGTTATGACCAGACCAGAATCTACTGCGCTGTCAATCACGAGCGGTTTGAATGCTGCTTTTAAAGGACTGTTCCGGGAAGTCAAAGAGACTTGTTGTAATTGTTCTAATCTATTGCTCTGTGATTGTTCTAATCTATGCTAAGGCCTATTTTGATCCTAGAGAAGACAGAGTGATGGATCTCACAGTCCCATATGCTGAATACTGAGCTGAAGAACTGTGCCCCAAGAGACTGTCCTGATACGTAGATAAGGTGAGGAAGGGGATGTGGAAGGATTGGGAGGACAATAAACACTGAAAAGAGAATGACACTCTTGGGATAGTATAAATAGTTTTAATATCTTAAACATACCATATCCAGTGATTTCTGGCTCATGAAATCGAACCCTTCTCTCTGCTTTTCGCTTTTCACCAACAGCTTGTTTCCTGGGCGGTCTTTTTCTCAGTATCGAAGGAGGACATTTACAACAATTCGTCTAGAAAATTGATCAAAGCACAAAATGCTACTGCTCAAACTGGAGTAATGCCTTTGAATGAAGCTTTGAACTTTCTCTGGTTATACAATATTTGTACGATGTCTCCAAAAGACATGATGTGAAACATACTTTTTGTGACATTGTTTATGGTTAGATCACTGCAGGATTTACAGAGAAGTAACACTGTGCTTCCTGTCTTAGTTGTAGATCTGGAGTTCAGTATTACTTGTCATCACCAGAAAAAATAACAGCATAGAACTTTGTTAAAACATAAAAATGCAAGAATTGCTATTTCTGGAACAGACTGCCTTAATTTATTTTTTTCCCTGTAATCTGAAAGAATAATTTTATTTTAAATGGTACATAGTCCTAAAAGGATAGAAAACCACAGACATGATTTGAAATGTATGCATCCAATTACAAGGGTGTCTTTCAAACTATTCTTTCAAGCTAAGCAGTTCCATGATGCATGAGTACATATTATTTGAGCAACTGATATGACACAATAGTCTCATGTTTGAATGCAATGTATATGACAAGTATATGAGTTGCCCTATTTAAAATTAGATCTCCTTATATTGTCTGTCTCACCCTAGTTTAAAAACAACATTCAATCTTAGATCATAGAATCAAATTATTGTGGATACGATAATCCAATCCAATCCAATCCAATCCCAGTTTTCTCTTAAAAATTCACTTTATCATGGTATGGTGAAAGTGTATAAATGAGTCCCAATCAGATGAGTTCAGAAGAGTCCACTGCACATACATGTCCAGCAAAAGCGGGCAAAGCAGATCTATTGCTCTATATTTTGACTAGGCCTATCTGTGGGTTTTCCCTGCTTCATTATTATTTTGGATCAAAATCCAGTGATGAGCATGATCATCACAAGTGTCCATCCTTCCTCCCTTGACAACCTACAATGCACAGTGAAGAGAGTGCCTAGCACAATGGAGTCCTTGGCCTAGGCCTATGGCTCATAGGGCACGTCTATACTTACCAGAAGATCAACGCTGTGGAGGTTGATCTTCTAGCATTCAATTTAGCAGGTCTAGTATAGAACTGTAACTCGAACGCTGAGGGTAGTCCCTGCTGGCATCCAGTACTCCTCCTTCTGCAAGGAGTAAGGGAAGCTGTTGGCAATGTTTGCTCCTGTTGCCTCCCTCTGTGTGGATGCTGCCATGGCTTGGCTTAAGGTCGATGGCTCATAGGGCACGTCTATACTTACCAGAAGATCAACGCTGTGGAGGTTGATCTTCTAGCATTCAATTTAGCAGGTCTAGTATAGAACTGTAACTCGAACGCTGAGGGTAGTCCCTGCTGGCATCCAGTACTCCTCCTTCTGCAAGGAGTAAGGGAAGCTGTTGGCAATGTTTGCTCCTGTTGCCTCCCTCTGTGTGGATGCTGCCATGGCTTGGCTTAAGGTCGGCTGACTCCAGCTATGCATTTTGCGTAGCTGGATGGTGTAGCCGACCTGCCTGGTCCAGTATAGACAAGGCCTTAGGGTCTATGGTAACACAAATAAAAATAATAAATTATAACAATAATGTTGGTTGGTGCTGTTTTTGCTGGTCTAGCCTCTCTTTCCTGTTTCATCATTTCGGACCCTCCATATTATGTTCCTGTCAGCCCTATTGCCCAACTCTGTTCCAGGATATTGGGAAAAGTCCTGTTCACATTATGGGGAGGGAATAGTAAAATGAGGGGTCATGATTGGAAAGGGCTAAAGATAAAATGTAGATATGTTACCTAGAGAAGATCCTTGTCCTAGAGCCATAGGATTCACCACATCAGATCAGACTAAAACTATGAGGAATCCTCTTAAAGATTAACATTTATTTGGGCATAAGCATTCATGAGCAAAGACCCACCTGGTCTTTATGGTGCCAAAGGACCCCTCTTTGTTTTTTCAGATACAGACTAACACAGCTACCCCACTCATAAGGATCATACTAGTTGTCCATCTTGTTTAATAGCCCGACTGAGACAGTGGCCGCTACCGGATGCTTCTGAGGAAGATGGAAGAAATCCAGCTGTAGGAATAACCTTCACATAGGGGGTATCTGATAGCTTCATAAACTTGAAGACCAGAAGGAACAAGCATGGCGTGCAGGTAGTCAGACTGGAAAATTATTATGGTCTCCTCTTGTAAAACACAGGCCATAGAACCTAACCTAGCAATTCCTTCATAAGGTCCATAACTTCTGTTTGAGTTACAGCCTCTCTTTCAGAAAAGCAACAAGATCTGATTTAAAGACTTCAAAAGATAGAGAATCCATATCACCTCTAGATACGTTGCTCCAATAGTGTTCTTCCTACCCTTCATTTGCCAGATTGGCTTAAATCCTGAAGCATGAAGGTTCATATATAATTTCCAAAATTGAGCTTTCCCCCACAATCTTTTCTATTCTAACTCTGTACGTTTTTGTTGACCATATAAATGTTCAGTTCTTTCTCTTGAGCCTTGCTGAGCAAATGGCCTCAGAGATATATCATAGTAATGAGTTTCACTGACAGATAGATCAGTTTTAAACTCACTGCCTGTCTGTTTGATGGTGTGTTCTTCAAGAGAAACATCAGAAAAGTGAATAGACTTGCAGGAAAAGTGGCTGGAGTAGGGAATCGGTCAATTTAAGATAAATAGGGGCATAGCTAACAATACTTCTTATTGATATTATTGGGTGGGCAACTGAAAATTGGAGCTTTTCTGCTAAGGTGAAAGGAGTTACATGGAGTAGATCAAGACAAATGTCGCTACATGCGTGTATGTAAATGAAGCTGTGCTTTTCATAATGATTTTTGCAAGTCTATCATCATTTTGCGCTTTCTTTTTAGAAATCATTCCCAATCTCAAACTCTTGCAAATAGCACAGATCTTAATCTTGCATCTGTTGATGATATGTGGGTGAACGTCACCAGGAAATGATATAGCTGTAGTGGGATCACATCTCTCTCTCTCCAGTACAGTTATGGCCTCACTTTACATGTTTCACAAATTAGAGCCATTATTGTAGTAATAGAGTAGGATTTTAACATTAGAATTTTCTACGGAGATTATAATAAAATCATTGATAGAATTTTAGCTGGAAAAAAACGTGATTTACTCTCAGAGGAGCTTCATCCGCTCTTTGTCAAGAGTGAAGTCCAGTCATTATGAAATACACATTTTTCCAACAAATCTCCCAGTACTGATCATAGAAAGATGGTATTTTATTGTTTTACTGCACAAATAGCACAAGTAGAGCTGACTGTTTGGTTTCCCTGGGGCTATTTATCCACCATGACATGCCTACCTAGGCCGCAAAAGGGCTTAGTGAAACCACACAAAGCAGTGCCTTAGACATGGAGCAAATTCATTGCTGAGTGGGATGAGTGGGCGTAGTTCTGCGCTCTGTTACACTGGTGTGTCAATGCAACTCAGCAGGGGAGAATGGGGCGTATGTTGCCCCTTAGTTATTCATCCCACCAGCTGGGAGAGTAAGAGTAGCTTCTAAGGAGCTGCTGCTCTCCCTCCTGTACATTACAGCTGGGGAGAGGGCAGGCCAGGGAGGGAAATGGACTTAGACTTTGTCTCTTTCCATCCAATGCCCTGGAGAGCACGAGTGAGCCGACACGCCAGAGAAGAAATCTACGCTGGGGATAGGGCTGGTGTTCATGGTTCTCACTGAAGTTACAGCCGGCTGGTGTACACCAACCGAGATGCTGCCATTTATAGAACTACAAACCATGGGCTAAAGGCATGACAATGTATCATGAAACTTGCTTTTCACTTGCAGACAGAGAAGCAGCATTCAGGTGACGAAGGCACCTTGTTTCTGATGAGCTGCGATTCCCTACTGACAACGGAATATAAATAGAACTGTTTGAAGTAGCCCAGATAGTCTCCTTACCTTCTCTTTCCTGTACATTGGAGAGATGGAAGACTCTTCCTCATGCTGCTGTGGGCTGACAGCTGCAGGTTTCCTAAAACTCTCTGGCAATCCACACGCTGATGCTTCCTGCAAGGATTTCACTGTGTCTGAAAGTCCTGAATCGCGCTGTGTCAACACATCCTGTAGGAGGGAAATTTCTTTCTGAAAAGTGTTCATAAAAGACACAATGCAGGCAGGTCGTTGAAGGCCTCCTGGTTGAAAGGGCCTCAATTATTAATGACTTCCCTGGGAGATGAAGTTACTCAGGAGCTCCCCTCAGCACATCTGAGGACCCAGTTCTTACGATGTCCCTGAGCAAGGAGAGGTGCATAAGCTGCAGAAGTATTAAGTCACAATTGCTTCCCCACTTCCTCCTTGCCCCAAAGTGGAAGCAATTTGTTGCTGGTCTACACCAGCACTCGTAGGTCAACTAAGCTACTCTGGCCAGTAAGTACAGGGGTACAGCCAAATACCTATCCATTCCCCAGCTGCCTTCCCCAGGGTGGTAATAAGAAGGGAAGTATCTTCTGTTACCTCTATATTCCTGTACTATGAGGGGGAGGGGAGTGGTAAAATACAGCTCTGGGCCTGATCTGGCCCACCCCAGACCTGTCCTGCCACCTTTCTGTGGTCCAGCAGGTGCTTTGGGCAGACCCCCTTCCTGCTGTGCCCCATGCACACCACTCAAAGCGGCTGGCTGTGAGGATCATGCCCCATGTCACCACCCCCTCCTTAACCCCAACTCACTCCCAGACCCCACACTCCTTCCTATGCCACAATCCCCTGCTCTGAGCTCCCTTCTGCACCCAACCTCCACCCTAGACTCTGCACTTCCTCCATTAATATAATGGAAAAGTGCGGTCTTTCACCACTTACCAAATTCAAAAATTATTGCCTCCCACTCTATACTAATATAACCCACGTAGAAGTAAGAAGGGCTATTTTACTCTTGCTTAGACTTTTGCGCAGCTACAAAGTTCAAGCCACAATCTAGCCTTACACATTAGAACTCTGGGTAATGATTTCTTTCCTCATTAAAAAAATCAATGAAAATAAAACTGTTTTCATTGTTTACACATTTTTTGAATTTTTGGGGGTGGGGAGGAGGGAGGGAATTGTTGTAAAAAAGGAAAAGCATCTTTTGGCTTTCAGTAAATGAAAACTGACAGTTTTAGGTTGGGGGGGGGGAAGTCATAATGTTACCAAAAATAAAAAAAGCTCCAACCAGTTTGTCACCCCACCTCCAGAATTTTAACAAAAAAGAGATTTTACTGGCAACAATAAAACAATTCCCTTGAAAAGCCATTGCTTATCAAAAATGAGTGTGATTGCAAAATTGCCAGTCAGTTCTAAAAAAGGATCATTTAAAACTACCATTCTTAACTGTTCACCTTCAAATGCTTATAAAGTTGACAGCAATAGTTGTTAATGTATGAATAAGCAGTAGTTACCTGAGCCCTCACATTCCAGAGTGAAAAAATGCTATATGTTCAAACTTCATAACAGCGACTAGATTAGTCACCTAAAATTGCATATGCATTAGCAATCAGAGTTTAATGTGAAGGATTTCATGAAAATAACAGTGGTGAAATTTTAAGGTGCTATTGAGAGAAGAAGTGAGTGTTATTAGACTGGGATGGAATACTTTGCAAAGGTCTAGAGTGTTGTCTTCAACCTCATCACCCTATTATTTCCTATCAAGGCATTGATCTCATTTCACTCAATATATGTCAGAAGTAAAGCTGGACAAATAGTGTCTACTGAATAATTTGTCTGAAGAATTTCACCTCTTTTTGGCTTCACTAATTCTCCATTGTCCAGAGAGTGATTTTTGCAAACATATTCATTATTCAGATTTAAACAATGGATACTTCTAGATCTGTAGAATGCTGCAAACACTTTGCTGCAAGTATTCAAGAGTCAAAAACTAACCATGTTATTAAAATAAAACAAAAATGGTGTTAGCCAATGGTTGAGGACTTAGGACAATTTGTATAGCGTAGTTTTAATGATTAAGGACAACAGTTGCCAACATATCCTTCACAAGCTACTGTGGCTATTTCCTGTCTTAGACCAAGGGGAAAACTATGGCCTCACCGACAGCACTGTGTTGGGAAATGCTGACTTTTAATGGCTTGCATTGTGTATGCAAATATGTGTCTTTAAAAGAAAAGGGAGTTTAAGTGTCTGCTCAGCAGAAAAAAAAGGAAAAAAAAACCACCCTCGTGATTGACTTCCCAGTGAATAACATGAACAGTCTGCACAAAAGGACTGACTGCACATACAGTACTTTCCAGCCATATCCCAATGGAAGATGTCTAGGAAATAAACATAACACAATAAAACAATTTTATGCTCTTCCATTTCCTCCAGAAGGATTAAATATTTTAGACAAGCAAAGTACTTTGTAAATGATGCCTTAGTGGGGATTCATCTGGCCTGGTTCAATTATTTCGAAACCTAGCAATTTTCTCATATCATTGAATCTGGTTTTATTGCAAATAGGGTCATAGAAATAGTCACACATTGCGATAATGGACTTAGTTTATCTTAACTATTAACACTTCCAATAGGTTTACACACACGTACATATACAATATTTATGTACATGCACAGTGCATATATATTAATAATGAAGTAACTTTATCTTGAACAATCTGAAAACAAAATCACGTAATAGCATACAGTGAGAGAGGTGCAGTTGTAACTGGAAGCTACAGATCGGTATAACAGAACAGAAAGGCGATTAATTAGAACGGAGTCTTCCATATCTCCTCCCACTGCCAAAGTGTCAACTGATCCTTCTTTCAGTATTCCACCTTTAGTGATTCTGTGTACACGCCATAAATAATTTACCCATGCACCTGTAGGCAGCAAGATGAGTTTTTGTGATGGTCAAGTGTGATTTTCCACCATCATGTAATACATCAAAAATATTAATTGCCCCAGAGCACATAATTAACACTGAAAGGAACACTGTCCCTTTTTTGCCTCTGGAGGAACAAATTCACTGCTGAAAGATACCCTTGCAGCAGGACATCCACAGAACAGAATACAAAACTAACTCTTACTTGTAATATCTATCAGCAGGGAAGTCCTGCAAAAATCATGTCCGTGTGAAAATCACTCATAAGGGGAATTTGTGTGCATCTCCTCTTAACAAACAGGGTAAAGATTAGTTTCTCTTTAGATGGATGCTTCAGCATGCAAGTACTTTCTTGGATTTTTTTAAAGAAAAAGTGTACTGGACGCCATGCAACTACCAATGGTTTGATAATATTTAAAACTTAGTGTGAAATCTTAGGCTATGTCTACACTGCCAGCTTTTCCCAGCAGAGAGTATGCAAATGAAGCACTGATTATCATTTTGTCACACTTCATTTGCATAATCTATTTGAGCTGGTTTTGCGCAAAGGGTTTTTGCGCAAAACCAAGCAGTGTGGATGTTTCCTTTTTGTGCAAAACCCGCTTTTTGCACAAGATCCTTATGCCTCTCCCAGAGAGGGATAAGGATCTTGTGCAAAAAGTGTTTTTTGTGCAAAAAGGAAACGTCCACACTGCTTGTTTTTGTGCAAAAACGGCTCGAATAGAGTATGCAAATGGATTATGAGAAAATGCTAATCAGCGCTCCATTTGCATACTCTCTGCCAGCAAAAGTTGCCAGTGTAGACAGAGCCTTAGTGTGAAGCCAGTTACACAGAAAGAGCTCAACTTTCATTTATTTCAAAGCATGTATTTCTTACTTCTGTTGATACCTACAAATCCATTGTCTAATGAGACCAATTGTTCACAGGAAAATAGAAAGCAAAGAAACATGCAGCAACCTACAATAATCCTATTTCTTTCCATGAGGGTCAGTCATACTTATGCTTGGGAGCCATACATTTTTCATTCTTCATATCACTAATCTACGGTGTAAGTTTTCATTCATGATACAGAGCTATGGACTGTCCTTTGTATCTGCAACTGCCTTCAATGTCAGTGGGAATTCACCTGTGCACAGAGGGCAGTATATGAACTGCTATTTGCAAATGTTATTTGTAATATCAAACGTGGCGATAGATCTGATACAACACAATAGAAGTTGCTTTATGAAGAAGTATGCTTTAAGAACACTGGCTCTGGTTCAGTATATGCTGGGCAGTTCTAAAGCAAAACTTTCCTGCTTGATTCACAGTGCTAATTTATAATCATGTCCTGCAGGTCCTGAATGGAACTCTTCAGGAAGCAAACTCTGGGAAGAATATGCAACAGGATTAGGTGCCCTACCCTCGACACCTATACTTCAGATCAGAATTGAGAATTTGCCCTGCGATGGGGTATTACCAACTCCATACAGGGGAGGGAAGGGTTAAATTACTGTTCTGGGCCCAAGAGGTCACCATCATTGCTTCTGCTGGGTATGGTCCCAATGGAGGCAGCATTTAAACGGCTCAGATCTCAGACTGGGCTGACCACAGATGAAGGCAGTCGGGTGCAGCAGCCTCCTGCCAGGAAGTTGCCAGCACTCCATGCCACTTAGATTGAGCCTAATAATGAAGCTGCTTGCAGCTGGCCAACTCTGATAGCTTCCCTACCCAATCCACAAGCAGATGATGCTACCCTGAATCATAGCTGTTAGGATGGTAATTTATCTACCATTAGGCAATACTGCCTACCGAGACATGCCTCTGTAGGATCTGGCAAAAATAATTTTACTTAAAAGAAGCACCTGGGTCAAATTCATCCACAGTGTAACTCCACTAATTCATGCTTCTTTGGGTAGACAGTAAAACTGAGTGTTCAAGATGATATACTGCACATATATATTAGAATAGCTGTGCCATTGAAACAAACTTTCTTAGTCACCATTTTTTGGCACATCTATTTAATAATTAAACTCTTGGAATCACAATCAAGCTCGCATTTGTGACCTACAGTTCATTTTGAGATAAAAATGTCCCATAAACCATTCGATTTATTTCACTTGATGTTTTCCCAGCCATTCTATTTATCCCACCACTGGGATCTAAAATGTAAAGTATGTAGTGATTACATGAGAGTTACCAAGTAACCAAATGCTAATAGCTGCTCTCTGCCCTTTGCTTCCACGTCGGTCATTCTTACTGATCTGAATGTTGTAGCTGAACAGAGCTAAAACCAGGGCCAGTTGGGGGGATAGGAGGAGGAGGAGTGTGTGAGAACAGGGAGCTACTTGGCCTGGATCTCAAGCTTGGGGAAGGGAGGGCTCAAATTTAGACACGGTAATTTTTTGGCATTTGGTAAGTTTCATGACTTGTTTTAATGTGCATCCCTGTCGGATCAAAATGTGACACATTCTCTCAGCTTAAAGCTGCAAATTTAAGCAAGTAAGAGATGTGATTTGGGGAAAGACATATTTTTATGGTAACCGATATAGATTTTGTCATATTAAAACGTTAAAACTGTTCATAAATATTAATAAAAATATATCGGTTCTGATGGCACAAGATTAGACCATGATGAATATGTCCTCTCAAATCAGCTGATTATATAAATAAACCACGGCTAGTGGCTGGTGCTGGACCAGTGGCATCATTTTTTATTTTTATTATGGCTAGAGGCCTCAAAAGCTTGATGTGGCCTGAGCCTCTCTGGACCTCTGAACAGGCCTGGCTAAACCTGGCTGGAGAAGGCATTCAGGGTGACCTTTCAGTTTCACTCTTGGATGGCATACTTCAGGGGTAGTTTTAGTGCTAAGGCACTCTCCCTTTAAAAAACCCTGGAATGTTGTTAACTGCAGTAGTGCTATCAGCAATCGTACTAAACAGAATGATCTAACATGCAGTGGGCAGATAGCTGACTGGAAATAAAATAAGAGGAGACAAAAAGCAGGAAAAGAAAAACCTTGCAAAGCACAAATATACTTACAGAAATGTAGGGCTGGAAAGGACTTGAGGTCATCAAATCCAACCCCTTTGTGGAACCAAGGAAACCTAAACCATCCTTGAGATGGTCTAATCTTTTGGTAAAAACCTTCAGTGATGGAAATTCCACAACCTCCCTTGGAAGCCTATTCCAGAGTTTATCTAACCTTATTTATTATCCTAATATCTAACCTAAATCTCCCTTGCTGCAGATTAAGCCAGTTACTTCTTGCCCTACCTTCACTGAGCACTGTCCTCTTTATAAACGAACCTTGCTATATTTGACGACTATTATTGGGTCCCCCCCTTAGTTAGTCTTCCTTTCTCAGGATTAAACATGCCGAGTTTTTCTAACCTTTCTGCACAGTACAGGGCTTGTTGCTCTCATCTGGATTCTCAATAATTTGTCCACACCTTTCCTTAAGCATGGCACCCACAACTGGACACAGCAGTCCAGCTGAGGTCTCACCAGCACCAAGCAGAGCGGGGCAACTACTTCCCGGGCCTTAAATATGACACTCCTGTTAATATACAATAGAATGGATGGTGTACATTATTTTAATAGAGTTCAAGTTGAGTACTTTTTATTCTTTGTTTTATAAAACTAATTTCCCAAATGAGATTCA